CCCTCGCCTGAGTCTGGTGGTGGTGAGGGTAGTATGTCGGACTCAGGCTTCTTCTCCAGGCTCTACCGTCTCGCCACACGCTGTCCATCTACCATATCCTCAGATTCCTCACTATTTGGAGCACGAGCTGTACAGTGAGCTGAACTCAGGGCATTGTGCCCATGCGTTATCTCATATTCCATCACTTCTTGGTAAATGAGTTCCTTCCACTGTTCCACTGTGTGTTCTCGTTCATCCACTGAATGGTCATATGGACCAGGTGCAGGCTGTATTACAAAGAATACACATACAGTTAACAAATATTGTTTAAATATGTATAATTATTCTTCTGACTATATAAATACATATATATTATATAAAAGTAATATACTTACAGCATTGACTTCTCCCTCATCATACCATACGTTGATGTACGGATGCACCAAAGCTTCATCTACTGATATCCGTTTCTCTGGGTCAATCACCAACATCCTTGACAACAAGTCTCTAGCCTGGCTTGCTGTAACTCATATGAACATTATCAATAAAGTTATTTACTCAGATGAAAATATACTTCCTGAAATTACTAACATACACTAAACAAGTGATTTTATGCAAGAAATTTTTAAACTTTACAGAACTATATGCCTTTCTCTCTCTCATATTCTATTATGTGTTGTTATTTTATTGAACATAAAGTAAAATAATTATGTCTGACAAATCACAAGTATGTATAGACATAATACATTCAAAACAGGAGATTGGTCAAGAAGCCAACATCTTTAAAGTATTTCATTAATTTAAGATTCTGTAAATTGTTCATTACTACACATTAGTATATTAATCTTTATCACCTGCGTGTCACAGTGTATACAGCAATACGTAAGTTGTAGCAACATACCACTACACTATTAAACTACAGAATTAAGTCCAGCAGAGAGCCCCATAGCATGGGGATTAAATCCCCTTACAGTGCTATAAAGTTCAACTACCAAGTCTCATTTCTGTCTGCCTGGTCTCCTGTAACATCAGCCTATATATGACTTCACAGTAAGCTGTATTAAGCTTATGTACTTCAGAAGTTTCATAATATGAAAGGACAGTCTGAATTGTGATCTGTAGGATTTAAGGTATTTATTAATTATTTGACCTTGGAAAGCATAAACTACAGAAAAATATATATAACAATACCTTTCAATTTATTATGTTCAGAAGAATCGGACGGGAAGAGTACATCCGGGAAGAGCCGGTCAAATGCATAACCAGGATATCGTGGTCGGTTCTCCACATAATTCCTCACCGTTAGCTGTAATCGTTTCATAAAATCTTGTGATGGTGTCCCAAGTTGCTCTGTGGAGGATAAGTAATTTAAAATTGAAGAACTAGAAGGCAAATAAAGCAGGATGGTTTTGCTGCATGATCCTAAAACTTATAACATTGATTAATATACACAATAACAAGTAAAAATCACAAATACAGAAAGTGCTTATTCCTTTAGAAGCATTTCAGTGAGATTTAAATGCTGTATTATTTCTTGTGTTTAGTGAAGAAGTATCATCAACATTCATTTGCATGCTTTAAAAGCTGAGAAGCTTCTTTTTGCTAATTCTTATTGTGTGCATACATGCACACACAACAGTGTAACTTTGTTTACAATAGTGAAGCTTTTTCATGCACTGGTTGTGTCAAAGCATGTCTTTTGGCTCTAAGGGAAAAATCTTTAAAACCTATTCTTTATTGATCTTCCTTTAATTCAACTACCAGTGTTAGACATATAATGATACAAGATCAAATAATCTGCTTTGACTCGTGCTTATAACTGAAGGCATAAAAGTTAAAAAAACTTAAGAAGCTACTTACCTATGATTTTATTCCATTGATCGATGTGATCTGTGCCTGGGAATAAGACTCCACCACGTATCATTTCACCCATTATGCATCCGACAGACCAGATATCAACATTTTCCTTATAACCCATACCCAATATTACCTACAAAGACAAACCCGAGTAACAAAATAATTTTCATGTCCAATACATCAACTGTCATGTGTTTAATTGCTCAATGTTAATTTAATCACCAGTTGTAGACATTTTGCCTCATTATTTAAATATTATTCAAGGCTGAAGTGAAAATGGTCAAGTTGTTGATGGATTATGTTGGGTTAGGTAAAGTAATGGGACAGGGAGCACAGAAAATTGGTCATTCAGAATTATGGCAACAAGAGGGGAGATGGAGCACAGTCAATCACAAAAAATGAAAAACAGAAAAGTGCCCTTAAATTTATTTCCTCTAATGCCACATTTAATGTCAGTAAAATAAAGGCTATTATGGCTCACCTCTGGTGCTCTGTAGTAGCGTGTGACAACATAAGGTGTCATCATAAATGTGGTGCCAGCTGTCCTGGCCAAGCCAAAATCCAAGATTTTCAGGGTGCAGTCTGATTTGACCACTATGTTGCTAGGTTTCAGGTCCTGAAAAAAAAGTTTACTTTGTGACCTCAAACTGTCAGAAATGAAAATATAAACAATGAATCTCTACTGATCTGTTATCACATACTTTCAGAAATGAAAATAAAAACAATTAGTTCATACTAAACCTTTTATCACAGGCTTTCACACCCATATCAACTGTGTAGAAAAATGTGTCAGGACAATCAGCCCACAGTCGTGGTTCCGATAGACAATGATGGACCTGCCTTGTTCATGCTAGAAGAAGCCTTTGTGTTCCTAACCATGTTTCTCCATGACATTCGATTCCAAAGATACTAAACTGTGGATGATTCTGGGTTCTGGCACACCCATTTTATTTATATTTCCATTTTTAACAATTTTATGTTATGATGCACTATTCTGGAGATGTCAAATTTATGCTCCATCTTGGGTCTCAATGACTTCACTTAATTATTCTGGACAGTCTTTATCAATTCATCAATACTTGATGTACTCTCTCTTAGCATGTTTTTGCCATTGGCTTATTATTCATGAGATGAACAGCATAACAAGAACATCTACCGTCAGATGTTGTAAGTAGCAACAGTATATATTTTAAGTGCCGAGTAGAATTTGGACATAAAAATAATGTTAATGGGATGGAGAATTACATAATGCAGAATATAATACATATTTCATTATCTTCAACTAATATTGTTATAACAATTGAAATCAAGGAAGATGAGATGGATGAAATATGAAAAATACATACAAAATGGTGGGTGCAAAAACCAAAATGAGAGGCCTTGTGGAAGACCTAGGCAAAGATAGCATGATTATCTGAATAAAAAATATATACACAGAGTTTCAGAGGTTATGCATATCTTTGTGTTCAAGTAGAATGACAAGGTGCCCATTGGATGTAAATATTCCATACCACTAGTTTCTTTGAACTGGTTCAACAGCACACTTCTACTTAAGATGGAAGCAGACACAGCTAGCCTCCAAAATGTGTGTGTATATAGATCTGTACTCTTCAGTTTGTAAGTAACCATAAACACAAATTGGCTAGCAGTCTATTTCTGTCATTATATTTTTCAGTTATGTTCTATCAAGTTATAACAATGAAAAGGTTAATTTTAATTTTTTTACCCACCCTGTGTATGATGCCTGCTGAGTGGAGATGTTTGATACCACACAGCATTTGGTACAAAAGGTATGACATCCTTTCATGGTCTAAGTCCATTTGTATCACCTGGCAAAGATTTGCATCCATCAACTCCATTACAAGATATACATCTTGAAATTCTTCCAGAGATTTCTGTGGTGTGAAAGCATTCAGCAGGCCAATAATCTGCAAACAGCAAGAAGGAAGGTTATTATATATGCTCTTACAAGTTTAATAGAGATTCATGTTCCAGAATCCAAAAATTAGTTTGAAAATTAAACATAAAATACAAACAAACATGCATTCACTGTTCATACAGTTATCAGCTTAGAGTGAAAATATTCATAATGAACTCATCCATGCTTATTTATGTTCAAATAAAATTGTCACTTCCTTTTTCACAAATTATTCATCAAATGAAAAATTGGCACATCACATAAATATTGAAAACAATTAAAATGTACAGTTACTTCAAAGCAACGTTTTATTTTGAATGTGTATAACAAGGTAAAATTCAGGCCTGCCTTTGAGTAAAGTGTCAAAAGTCTGTAAACCTTCATCTATTCCAAAAATAGACAAGAAGAATGTGGAATAATTCATGACAGTACCTGAAACTGGTTCTAATAAATTCTATTGAATATAATATTAACAGTATATATCAGTTTCTCACAAACTGGCAGGTAAACAGTATATATGTAAGTAAAATGAATATTCAAACTCACATTCTTGTGATTAACAAGCTTCATTAATTTGAACTCCCGATAAGCACGTTTAGCATGAGTAACATTCTGGAATGGACGGCTCAATTTCTTGATAGCCACGTTCTGCTGTGTAACTGTGTCATATGCAGCACTGCAACAAAGAACAGAATGACACAACTGTTACTGTTCCAGAAACACATCTGTTTGCTTCCATATAGCTAAAGAAAAATTAAAAAGTGAACAACAGGAATATTCATGTATAAGACTAAAATATTCTTCCTCCAAGAAAAAAGAGTAAAAAGTGAAGAAGGGCCATTTTGTTCTGACTGGTAAACTTCAGCACTCCTCAGACAATTTATTATATAGACTTTGTTAACATAATTATACAAATTATAAATCTACATGAGTTTAAATCACCAAAAGCCTTGGTTAGCAACAATAAATTCAAGTGAAAGATATTGTTAATGACCCAACATAAAGTTCTAAAGTACATTCATCCCTCTTAAATATTATGGCATTATTGATTTCTAACATGCTTGGATGATGACCATACAAAATAAGGTGACAAACAGATGGACACAAAGCTTGTTATTGGAATTCCGAAGCAGGAACTCTGCAGAGCCATAAAAATGTTTCCCTGTGGGTAGCATAAGAAGTAGTAAAATAATAGTACACAGCACTTTTAGCTTTAAAAAAATAAAACAGGAAACATGGAAAGAAACCAATTAGTCTTTTGAAAATTTATTCTAATAATGTAAATTACAAAAGTCATAGGCCTGTTAATATGACTGCTTACTAAGAATATTTCAGGTCATAGTACCAATACCAGTGACAAGCAAGTTCAAGTAAGAGAAGAGTAAGTAATTTATAGGGACAATAATGCCTCTTCACATAAAATTCACAAAATGTCTATAAGGGTACAATTTGTATTATTTTCAAGTCCTTTTGGTATTAAAGTCCTCTTTCTTTACTCACCAGACCATGCCCTGAGCACCCACACCTTTAGGTGCCAGGTCCAAATAGCGACTTGGTACAGAAAACTCGGTGTCTCCAAACTCCACTGTGTAGAACATGATGGATGTGGTTCAAGATTCACTGTTGGGGATGGGATGGGCTATGAGATAGCTACTGTCATCACGTTCATCACTTCCTATCGGATGCTGCACCGAAAAGTATCACTACTAGCACAATTCATTCACTTTAATCCAATGACCATCCATAAATGACGTCGCTTAACTGGAGAGGGCTCCAGTCTTCCTTCGTATTAACTTCCCACATATCAACATTCATGGAAAGAAGTTTAGTCTGTGGTTTAGTCCCTTTTCTAGCCACGATTTCTGTTTCTATTTGCTAGAGCTGCTGAAATATTTGAATTGAATAGTTGAGATGTTATTGCATATTATAAGAATTCCAAAATTTAAGATATTTAAACACAGACCATATTCCCTATGTCTTCATACGCAGTTGAATATTATTTCAGTTTTGATTTTTTGGGTTAATGTGAATATTAAACAGAACAACAAGGATAAAATATCACTTGTGAAATTTTAACCATCTTCATACTTAAAGGACTCATAAGTCAAATGGGACTATACAATTTAATACTGATTGAAAGCAAACCACTTCATTACTTCATGTGTTACTTTCTGAGTATATAAAATGGCATTCTTTGAACTGATGCTACATAATAGTAAAAGAAAATTTTAAGTTACCCTTGAGCCTACCCACCATATAACGGAGGATTGGTGTTAAATGAATTTAAATGGCCAGTTTTATTTTCCAGTCACTTTTCTCTCTGCAGACAGAGTCCCTATACCGTTAAAAAAATATCACTACTCCAAATGGCACTAATGAGCAGTAACATTTTGCACAGAAGAAATTAGAACAACCTGATCTTCACCAATTCTAGTGCAAAATGCTTTAACTTTTCATTTTTACAATGAAAACTGTGTTACAGAACTCACAATTATGCAATCAATCGCTGACAACCTACATTAAATTAAAACTAGGAATTTTCTTACTTGCTGTTTCCAACACGATATGACTGAACAGTCGTAGTAACATACTAGTTCACCCCTAATACAGTGATAGCTAAAATAAAATAAGCAAGACACTGTCCTGAAATACATATAACATCCTTCAGAGTTTAGAAAGAAATCTCATCTTTTAACAACTAAACACGTAACACAGAAATAATAAACAACACTTTCTTAATACTTGAGCAGCTTTTTAATGTATTTATAAACTTTAAATAAAAGGTGTATAAATGATGTTGGAAAGTTCAATCCTTTTATGTGATGTTCTGAAACTGAGGTGAAACTTACACTTGCATTAAATTTGGACAAATGTCGCAATACAGTTTGTTCTGTCAGATTTACTATCTTTACTATTTAACAAACAGAAAGCCTTCAGTCACAAAATACCAAGTAATGCAATGGCAAAGATGATAAACGTTATGTACTGAAGTTACAATTCAGTCTGAATTATATGTCACATAATGTATTATCCTTTGATTCATTATATGCCACTTCAACTTTTCAAAAATATTTTATTTAGGATAAAAACTAAAATGTACAATCCCAATGAAAGATTTAAGTTTATTCTGCAAGGTCATGTATTTTTATACTGAGCAATTTTCGTTCTGCTTCAAATGAATTTCTTTTGATGGGCAAAAAACTACATAACTCCAGCACTGAAGTTTTACACACTGACTTCACATTATATAAGAATATATATAATTTCCAACAAAGTGTACCAAAACAAAGCTAAATTAACATCTAGCTGAAAACAAACTTAATTTTGTTACTTTAAATACCTGTACTAATAAAGTAAAGAAACAGTTGCAAAAACCAGTAAATACATAATGTTTGGAGCAACACAATGCCTTATAAAAGTGTACATTTGTCCGACTTCATACAGACTGTGCTAAGAAAAATCTCAGTGAAATGAAAGACTAAACTCTGAAGATTGGAAGTCTTGAGAGAGAAAGTAACTGAAGTGTTCTGTAACACCCGAGACTGGTAATCAGCTACTTAACACCAGAGGGAAGACTAGGCCCTCCACCAGGGCTTCAAACACAAACATATGGACAGAACAGAAGTGTACATGCTCTCCAATTAAATATCCATAACAAATGAAAATTGTAACCAAATTGAAACAACAAACCATAAAAGAGGAAGGTGGTCTAATCTAAAACCAAAGCTGTGTTATGTACAGCATTCAAAAACTAAGAACAATCCTTTCCACATACAACCGGCCATCATTATATGGAGAGCCTTTCTACTACAAACAAAAAAACACACCAAAAAAACTGTTTCACTTTAAAAAATTATAAATAACAACCAAATTCACAATGCAATGAAACGATGAACAGGTAGCCCTCGATTTACGACGGGGATGCGTTCCTGGACAAACCGGCGTAAATCGAAACTCTTTTATAATGTAAATCAATGGGAAGTCAATGACATGCGTTCCCAGCACTCAAACATTTACGAGTGATATAATGGCATTACATTTAAATCTCTGAAATAACGTAAATAAAATAAAGGGAATTTAAAAGCTATATTTTGTACACTTACTATCGGCAATTCGTTGGTCCCCGCGATAGACTGCGATTCTTTCATGTGATTGATGTGTACAGTCATCTCTGCTGTTATGCGATAGTTCATGTAAGACGCCGACCTATCGAAAATCGCGTAGTGAAAATAACCCCGGTACCTCCGCAGAGATTAAATTAGCCCTTTGAAAGTTTAAAGCGCCAGGAATGAGATTGCATCAGAGCAAACTCGCATATGCAAAAGTTTGCATTTCACAAACAGCTTTTACCGATTCATCGATCTCATTGGAGCAAATTCACGTTAACGAAACATACGTAATTGCAGAGATGACTGTACTTATAATTTTTATTCAAAATCAGCGACGTAAGAATTACGATTTAGTATAAGAATCAGTATGAGATACATTGCAAAACGTTATAAATAATAGCACAATATATGTTTTTAACTTTTTGACTTTCTGGTTTCAAAATCGGCGTTATTCTGAATCGGCGCAAATCGAGGGCTACCTGTATAATGCAATTCATGCAAAAATTAGTCACAAAAACAGTTCATATTACACATGTGTGTATTAGGCCACAACTGCTCTTTCCATATTATTTCAAATTCATGATTCACTATCAGTCTCTTATTTGACACTATCTAGTCTGAGCTACTGAAAAAGCATTGTTAAATAACCTCTATATAAATAAATGTATGTATATGTGTACATGCATGTAATATCCATACTGCACTACAACATGACAAAGTGGAAAAATTACATGTCAAATTCTGGTAAAAAATACTTATTTGGAACATTGAATACAATGTTCTATAAAACATTATCAAAAGAGAAATTATCACATCAGAAATTTTGCATAATATATCATTATTACAATAAGAGACATGAAAAATAAAAGTTCACATCCTTATCACATCAAACCAGACCCCACTTTTACTGAGCTCATTGAATGGTTTAGTTGTAGAAATAACATGCCAAATGAACTGTTTTGGTTAAACTGTATTATAAAATGGTGATTCTCTCAGCTAGGGGAAGTAAAAAAGTAACCAAAAACCAAAGTAACCAAATCCTTAAAACTGAAAGAAGCAAATTACAGACGTCTGTCAACTTCATTCATGGATGTTGCTAATTTATATTTCTTAAATTCAGTAACAGTGAACCACTCACAAAGGCAAATATTCCATGACATAGAGTTCCATTTCTGGTCCCCAATTCTTTTCTTTTTTAAAAGATCCTTCACGTAGTAAAGTTTTTAGTCTTCTGGTAAAAAAGGGTAGAGAAGAACAAGGAACTTCATAAAATATTAAGTTTTGTCTGTATTTGTACAGTACTCAAGTTTGTAAAATTTCAACAGGCTGCATGGATGGCAGAAACATGAAATGTGTACAAAATTATGGCAGAGAAAACTTTTTCAAAGTGGTAACTTGGAAGACCAAGGAGGAGACTGCAGTTTTGTATTAAAATGGATTATGGAGAAGTAGGTTGTGAGTACGTGAAATGGACTGAACTGGTTCAGAACTGGGCTTTGACATGTAGTGCTGAACCTTAGAAGGCTTCTATTACCAGATAACTACAGGGGGGTGGGAAAGATGGGGGAAATGATATTTGATTTTTCAAAGAAAAAAGGATATGGAATTCCGCTAGATTCCTCTAAACCATTAGCATTTGCCTCCAATCTAAGACACTGAAAATATCTCAACTGAAAAAGAGTTCATCCTATCACTTTTTATCGAATGGAAATATTAAGTACAAATAAATATTCTTACATTTTTTCCATCAAAAGTATTGGAAATCACATGTGTCATGTTTCTAGAAGGGAGGAATAAGAACTTATGTATATAAGCAGGGCTCCAGAAATTGCTTCTACTTGTACACTCACCACTGATATCCTTAACTCACTCGTGATGAGTATAAAAGTATCAGTATGAAGAATACTCCAACACTATGAGTCTGCAGATTTTGTCAAATAGCTTAAGTCACATTTCTAGAACTGTGAATATATCTAATTATTTTTATGAATTTAAGAATCGTATACACTAATAAATCTTGCAACAGCAGACAGTCCTTTCAAACAAAATATCTTATAAAGATTTCTGTCTTCTGGGTTGTTTCGCTGTGTAGTCTGGTCGATGCTAACCAAAGTTTCTGAGGTCATACTGCCTCCATCATCAGGGCGATGAATCGACGGAGGCAGTATGACCTCTGAAACGTTGGTAAATATCTACCACACTACACAGCGCAACAACCCAGAAGACAGAAATCTTCATACTCACCGCTGTGAAAACCTCAAATCTTACAAAATATCTTATGATTTTCATGATTCAAAGAATGAGGATGATGAGAAAATAAGCCTATCCTCATTTAACTTCATACAGTATCTCCTATCAACAAATCTTGAAATATTTTTTATTGAAGAACCTGAATATATGAAGTTACACTGAAGATGGAGTACAGAAACTTACATATAGAATGACAGTCAAGAGTGACACAGCTAGAATGCACAAAGTTACCGCATAGTTCCTAAATGCAGAGAGACTAAAACTTAATATCAGTCAAAACTCTATTTCACACTTGTTAACAAGAACATGTCTATAAAAGATGTCAAACAGAACTGAACACGAAAAAGTGTTAGAGCAAAGGATACAGAATTTTTCATCCGCCTGAACATCTATAAAATTACTTAAGAACTATGTAATCTGCTTATTCCACTCGTGTTGAATGCTGTAATATGCAAGACACGATGCTCTTGTATACCACACAAAACAAAGTACTTATTTTATAGGATTTTAGATTCTCATGGCGGCAAAGCCGTCTTCTGAGTTTTAGAACCATATAGTCTGGTACAAGTTTACCAAAGTTTCGCAGGTACTTGCTGCCTTCATCATCACTCATCACCCTGATTATGGAGGTGGCAAGTACCTCTGTAACACTAGTAAATTTCTACCAGATTACAAGGTGCTACAACACAGAAGACAGCCATCTTTAAAGTATTTATTCTGTCCACATATTGCTTAACTCTTTGAAGCAGATGCTCATCTAAATATTTAAGAATTTGATCCATACATCGGGGCAAACACAACACTTCTCCATTACAAAGATCCGCTGGCTAATGTGGCTTAAGGAAATAATCCCTGTTTACACTGAGAATCACATGAATATCAAATTGCATTCTAATGTTTACAGCAAGACTGCTTAAAAGTTTACAAACGAACTTTTTGAGTTAGTGGTGTGACACCTACAGCATAATGCGCTGCAAACCTTAGTAACACTTTTTATTGCAAAACTGCGACTTAAAAGTTCCATACACTAAAACTGACATTTATAAATGAAGGACTCGTATAACAAATAGTTTCTTTTCCTGCAATATAAGGCAGTTCCAGCGACAAAGGCCACAAATGGAAATGACGAAAAGAAACTATGAGGCAGGAATACACACAGAAGGAATTACAGTTTTTCAAGGAGTAGATGAATATACATTGAAAATATCATCAATTTAACAAGAGCAACCAAGAATAGAGAGAAAAGTGGGCAATGTTTACAGAGAACGGACAACTGCTGAATTTATAATCATGTCTACTGGGAACAGAAATTACTGGAAGACCAACAATAAAAGATGATTTGACCGAATACAGCATGGATCCAGAATTTGACCACAGTAACCAAACGACGACGATGACGGTGGTAGTGATAATGATGATGATGATAGAAGGTTTGTGCACATATAATGTATAAAAGAAGTACAGTCACAGTGTGAAGGAATACAGCAATGTCAAATATCCATCAGAGTTCTGTGGAATATCTTATAACACAAGAAGACTATTCAGTGCTGAAAATGCTGGTTTAATAGCCAAGTGTCAAAAAATCTCTGTAGTTAAATTAATAACACTTCCTTCATGAGTCAAAAGGTGTCACTGTCAGGAAAATAGAATGATGTTATATGAATAAATCATACATGTGTTAAAAGTAAATCTCAGATTCTTGTAGCTGAAGAATGATCAGGTGAAAACTCTCCTCAAAGATCAATTTGAAAACCAAAGAAGTGGTGTCATCCACATCTAGTGCCAAACCATCGCAGGAATAGTGTACCAAAGTTGTTACTGTTGACAAGTAGGGTCATAATGATTATGATATTTCCCGAGATCTCCAACATAAGCTACAAATTACCGAGTAAAAAACACCTTGTGTCCAGGCTCGCAACAATATTCCAAGGCGTGTACAAACTTACCAAACAATTCCCTGAGCTCCTGAGCCAATGGGCTTGAGGTTCTGATAACGCTTGAGTATCGTGAATTTAGTATCGCCGACCTCCACAGTGTAGAACATGGAGGAGAGCCTGGAGGACATCTTGGGACCGAGGAACGGCATGCGTGGGACAGCAGTGCTGTAGCGGCAATAGCGGTGGCAGGCTTGGCTCTGTGCAAGCAACAGTGGATTCGGTCCTCTGGTCTGCAAGAAACCAAGAAATATTTATGAGATCTGAGGTGTAAAGAATGACAAAAATTAGTCTTGTAAGTGGTTACCACATGACACCATAACAAACAAATCCACAGTCCTCGAAACAAACACAATGAAGATAACTGCAACATTCAAATGCAAAACGTGTTAAAGAAACGAGTAAATATTCAAGATGTCCCAGGCTCAAATTTCACCTGAGATTTTTCATAGTTGCGTTGACAAATTCTTTACACCATTTTCTCAACCGGGGATCAGAAAGTTACTCCTACGAGGTCCGCAACTTGAGTAGATTATACTCTTATCTTTTATGCTACAGTGCTTGAAGTTTTAGGCTTTTAAATCGCATTTTAATTCCATGTTGGAGTAAAAATACGACGAAAAGTCTATAGATTCAATCTACATTTCAATATGGCTATATTCTATGTAATTAGAATGTATGAGATAATTTTGAAGCTGGCGTCCGCGGTACCGGAGACGTTGGGAAAAACTCCCATTACCAAAAGATGTCACGGGATCGGAAAGCAAATAAAGAAATTACTAGACCACCACAATGGAACTTGTACTAAAACACTATACAAAGTCGACTCCACACAAAATTCTAAAACATAAAAAAAATCTTATTCCAAATTCTAGAAACGGGTTCATTACCTACTCTTATCAATAAATGTAAAAATGTGCTCAGCGGCTAAGACACAAATAAATAAAGTCTTGGGAATAAAAATGGACAAGAACACATTTTTACTAAAACCGAGAAAACGGGAATAAGTTAAACATTACTGCTCTGATTTAATTTCGTGAGACTCTGAAAGACAAATTAAAAGAAAATACATATGTGACTAACTCGTCTCTATATAAACTATGAAAAACCTATTAGAATAAACCAGCAGGAAGTGCGCCTGTTAAATTGAGAAATAGTGGAAAAAATAACGTCGTTTCATTTAAGTTAGTGTACAGATTATCAGAAACCGTGATTCGCCGTGCTGATGCGGCAACTTCTCTGGCATCCGTGTCCGGCAGGAAGTCTAAACAAATACAAGCAGGCGTACGTGGAGACTGAGTACAGTCGGAATAGAATACACCAGCCTTGTCAACGTTCCGCACTTTGGGAACAGGTGCAAAGGCGGTGGTGGTGATGGTGGATCGTTTGAAAACGCAAAAACAAAAGGTTGGGAAATAAACAGCAATGAACGAAACTGCACACTGTAAGCATTTAAAAAGGATGCGATCCAAGAGGTTCTCACAGCGAGGAATATGAAATGGCCAACCAAACTACCAACATGTTATATTATTACAGCTTCACTAATTAAATTTAATACGATATACGTCTATTAGTTTCAAAATAGTTATTTATGGTCGATTGGACCAGTATTAAATTAAAAGTAAACACCCGGGCGTGGTTTCGTCATCAAGTTAGCTTGCGTGGGAATCCGGTGTATTTAAATTAATGTCAAGCCTCGAACAAACATGTTGGAAATGAACATGGGGGTGGGTGGGGGGAGGAGAGTCGATCAATTAAGCCAGTCTCTCTTTACAGTACAGAGGCTCTGATTAAAAATAACTTTCGCCGTGATTGCCACTTTTGTGAGGCTAATAAATAACTTCGGTTTTGAAACACAATCAGCAGCCGAATCAGAAAAATGTAGAGGCAGAACAGACCTGATGATGCCTACAGTACGCATATCTGAAACGTCAGCCACCAATTCCCACGCAAGAATCTTGCAGGATCTTTGTACATCGTCCTCTGTATCTGCAATTACTCTGGCCACCTGAATAAAAAGTCGTCCATTTTACTTGGACGGTAGATATTATGTTGAAAAATGCAGACCAGGTATTTTATTTTCTTTCAGTAGCAGTGCGCATGGAAATAGCATTGACAACTTATGCACATGTTTCGATTTTCACTGGAGGCAAGTATCAAACACAGACCGACGAAGATCAGAAGAAATCTGCAGTTGCTTATGGGAAGTTCGAAGAATGATAGAGGCAGAGGGAGTGACTTAATTGAATAAACTTATCCTGTTCGCGTGAAGGAAATGAACAGAACGAAAAAAAAAATCGACTAACATTCGAAAAGGATGTCCAGCAGTTAGAAGCCACAGTGTTATATGAACTGTCAGTAGTTAGAATTTTAAATATCAGCTGTGAACTTTGAATAAATTTATGTGCATCTTTTAGAGACGGGCACAATTATAGCACAGACTAAGTAATCAGTTGGAACAGTAAAAAGTTACGAGACGGCTGATATAATCTATCTGATACTTAAAAACTGCTTAAGAAGTAAGAGTGGGAGGGTCCTTAAGGCGTTCTTGCGGTTGAAAGTTTTCAGTCAGTGTACCGTTAAGACCCGGATGTGTCTCCCCCGCGTACCTAATCCAGGAAACGCTCTTTCCCCGCACAAACCGAGTTCATCTCCTCCCCTCGTGAATACATGAATATTCGGCTTGATAGGACCAACGCCAGCTTCTCTAAGGGGGATGCAACCAATAGCAACGGAACAGAAACAACCCCAGGCTGGGTGGGTGGATGCTAACTTGTTCAGTTGTGCATGAATTCATAGAAGGCTCGAAAAAAGTGCGTAATGAGAATCTCCATAGTTTTTAATCTTCACCAAATAATATTAGTGACAGATTCAAGGAGGACAAAAATGAGAGGGGCACATAACACGCACGGGGAAGATGAGAAATGCGTACGAATTTTCCGGTTGAAAAGCTTGAAGTGAAGAGGACACTCGGAAGATCTAGGCGTAGATGGAAGAGTAAGAACTTCATGGATCTTCGGGAAATAGGGTGGGAGGTTGTTGACTGGACCGATCTGGCTCGAGACAGCGACCTGTGGCGAGCTCTTGTGAACACGGCAAGGAACCAATGGGTTCCATTAATAACAGAGCCCCCAATGTTTATACTAAACAAATTAAGACAGCACTAAACACTGTCTAAAAGAAACTTCGCTGATCTCTGCACCTTCCACTTGTCTTTCACAAATATTTTCATTATTATATTTTATCATTATATTACATTTAAAATTTAACGTACAAAAAAGTGGGTTACAACGGTTTTTCGGGAATACAATTTTTTACAACTGCCTATAAGTGAATTAAGGACCGGTAAAAGCGATTTATGATAATGATCACTTTCCGAAGGGCAGAAGCAAAAGACAGAACCAGGTAAATGCCACTCCTTCACCATTAGATGAATGCAGTAGCACAATTCTCTCGCAACAGCATTCCCCCATAATGCAATAGGCTACAAGAAGCGACGCCTTCAGCGTAATTTGAGGCAAGTGCCTCTTTTGGCAATCAAAGTCGAAGGACGCTGCAGAAGCAAAATGGAACCGAAGGGGGCGAGCACCTGCATCTGATGCTGTGACAGACAGACAGGTCTGACACAGCGATAACACTAAAGGGGGAGGGAGCAAGAAATGAAATTAATTAAAGTAAAATCTGGTGTACTACATCACACGCAGTTCCTTTGCCCTTACGAGCTTCAACATCTGTACCTGAATCGAGTGCAGGCCTTTACCTTTGGAGCAGTGGTCCTCCCCAAAGGTACTCACTAGATATACAGGCGTCTCCAGAAAATATAGAAATACAGAACAAACGCTAACCCATTTATCCTTACATAATTTAATTTTCCATATCGACGACCAACAGAGAGTAATTACTTTTCTAAGAGATGACATCTGTCAAAATAAATAATGTGGAAATAGAAGCTAATTTAAATTACTACATTATTGGACGATTCATTAGGGTAGCCTGTCTACAATCTGCTGACGTCAAGATATTAAATAATGAAGGGAATTTAAAAACTGCACACTCAAAATGCATGCATGATTCTGTTCACAAAATCTGAAGGGAAAAACACTGATGTAAGGGCGAAAAATCGTCATGGACGGACAGATTCGTATGCCACTTTGCGGGTTTACAGTTGTGCAGGAGAATTGTAACTTAGCGTGAGTCTTTGTGTTTCGAATGATACAGAACAAACAAAATAAAACAAAACTTCCTCTCTCTTGTCCATGCAAGCTCTAGTGGTAAGCAATGCCCCTGTTGCCTGCTACCGGCGTCTTTGTCACAGCTTCGTTAGAATTCGCACCACGGAAATTAGGTCTGCCCATTACGATGAAACAACTATTACATCAGTAGGGCAAATTGTTTTACAGGATGACGGAAAACTGCACCATTCTTATGCACAACAATAACAAAACAATCAGAATATTTCTTAATACACCGGAAATGTTCAATTTTATGTGACAGGACACGGGCCACTTTAGGCGCAGAGCTTTTCACTGTGTACCACTTTGCAACCAAATTCGTTACGGATGTGAGTTTAAGAAATAATCGCTGTTTACTCTGAAAATCATACAAAAACCATACAAACACTTTGTGGTGAAAAGGGTACCGATTATTAAAGACGATTGCTAACTCTGGGCTCTAAAGAGTTAAAGTATATTTTATCCTCTAGAAACCAACGTGCAGACTAAAAAATAGAACATACAGTTAGTTAACCTGTTTTGTTTCGATCCCTTCTTTCCACTACGTGTCAGAATAGCTAGAAAAACCAACACAATTTATAATTCGTCGACAGATGAAGCACGCATGAGCGCCCACTGTGGGTCTGCCATCGAGCGATATAAGTACCAAAACAAGTGACAAGCCAGGCGTGTGGCCTGCCTCATTTTGTACAAAACGTCGTAATTACTACTGAATATGACTATTACGCGAGCTTCATTCGAGAAGCCATTTGGTTTAATATTGCATCTGGTTTGTCTGTGAAGGTGGCGCCATGCACTGCAAATCTTCTGTAAGAAAGTTTTATAACTGAAATCCAGACCCAATTTCAACTACAAGAAACAGAATAGATAAACTGAAGGAGTGAGGGCTGGCAGGGTGAGAGGAAGGAAGAGACTGAAAAAGGGGAACAATAAACGAAATTCGCATAAGAAAGAAAAGTCTAAGAATGCATAATGGCTGAGCACGGGGCATGCGACAACTG